TGCGCAGCAGGTACAACTAGAGACCTCTTGAAGTCCCTCCCAACTTCAGTTGTCTTATGATCATATGATATATCTGTGCAGTAAGCTGTGTTTAAAAATAAACTAAATTTAGGAAAAAAACCAAAGCCACAACGATTAAACCTTAAATACATTTGTGTCTGTACATTTAAACAATGTACTATATTTTTTTAAAGTAACAGCATAATATTTTTTGTTATATCATTTATTTTTAAGAATGATTACAACATTTTTAACTGATGCATATATGTTTTGTACACTAACAAACAAACATTTCCTATGGGAAGAAAAAGTATGCATCTTGTTTCAGAGAGGAAATGGTGCAATACAGAAAATTTTAATCATTTTTATCTAGAAATTTAACTTACGATTTTTCAGACACACTTTCTAACTTCAGATTTCAGCATTAGGGATTTGATAGTTGTAAACCATTATACTTAAGACAGCTATATTTTGCTAGCATCTATTTTGTCTGATATTTGGAAAACATTCCTAACTTTTCTACCTCCCATGTCATCTCAGACATTCCCCCCATCTCTCCCATCAGCAGTTCCTTCTGCAGAGTACATAGTTGACAATATTATTGCTAAGTTTATACTGAATTTCAATAACCAGTGCTGCTTCGTAACAACTAACGCAAGAACACTAGGACTTAAAATGAGTCAATATTTCCCATACAGTCCTTTGTAGCTCTGGCTACCTTTTACATAGTTCAAATACAAATAATGCACATGTGTATTTCTACCAAAACCCCTGCAATCTTACAAGATGGTTATTAGAGAATAACATTTGGAATGTGTAACGGGCTAACAGATTTGAAATTTAAAAGCTACCATTAAATGCTTACCTTTGTCATGGCTTGTAATTATTTATTTATTCTGCCCACACATACTCAGCACTTGAAATAATGAAGAAAGTCTCTGTCTCAAAATTTAATATGACTTGGAAGTGATGACACAGAGGACAAGTGTCACAATAATAAGAACAGGGCCTAGACAGATCTAGTTTCTGCATACTCGGACATTTTCCTAACACTTTAAAACTCACTTGCCTTTTTTTTTGGTGGCATTTTTATGTACATATAATACAGTAAGCAATATGTTGGTCATGCTTCTACACAATTAGTCTCAATCCTTTAAACATTAAGAACCTTTCTCAAATCTTGATTAAGTCTTGATATTTGCAAGACGCGGTCCAAACATAACAAGTCATGTCACTGTTCCCAGTACAGACTCAAGCTATTAAAATTAAAAATTAAAGGGGACTGATTTCAGATGTGACAAAACTTCAGACATGTACATGAGCAGCGTTCAGGCTCAGCACTGCCACTGGAAACACACTTTAATGAGCTGCCATGTGCTACTCTGGAATCACTGAGTTTGCCCTTATAAAGGGAAAATGTTAATGTATTATCAAACTTAAAGGCCAAAGGAAATCTTTCTGAAAAGCATTCCTATAAATCTCTTCTTCAGTGTGCAAGCATGAAATATTTCAAATGTTTTATTTTACAATTTCTTAAAATGAATGCTAATTCTGCATAATTTCCATTATGTTAGCAGTAAACACAAATAGCACACTGAACAAGATTTTAAATCCCAGTTTTCACCATCTGAAATAATTTCTTCTGGGGATAATTAAAACCATCCTCCTTTTTTTTTTTTTTAATCTTAAAATTCAGAACTGATCTAAACCATAAATAAGTCTACTACCTAAGGTCAGATCTGTTCCTCTTATCTGGAAAGCCCTCAAACTCACTGCCTGCTTTACAGAGAACACTAAGGTGTGTCTACCATTGGCCATCCAAATGTTTTGGAAAAAATCCACTGAAAAATCCATTGAATACTCAGCCTGGAAATTATTTCCCAAACCTAATCTAAATAAGTCTCTCCAAGTATTTTTGTTCAGAGTATGCTGCAACTTTTTAAATCCAAACAAGTCAGAGTGGAGAAAGAAAACAATACTACTACTGACTTGTGAAAAAAATGAGCAAAATTGATTTGTTTTCCTCATTTATTAATATAATCTACAATATTACTTATCTCAAGGGGTTTCCGGAGTCCAGACCATGTGATCACACTAATTAGCACAGTATGTGCTATTCTGATTATTTCTACAGCACCAATTCTCCACTGCAATATGTTACTGTGCCTTCAAGCCAAACACAAGTCGCATGTTTTATTAGCATTTTATTGTTTGCTTTTTATCTTAAGCAGAATATTAGAATGGTCTATAAGCCATTAGGAGTCTTTTAAAAAAAAGTTACGATTTTGGCATGAGTATTCCACATTCTCACAACATGCATCTTCTTCATTCAAAATTTCTTACCAAACAAAAACATATTAATGCAACACACCTACCTTATACCTAAAATAAGACTAGCTTCTCGCCTACTCATTTTCTGTTCAAATCCTCCTTTATAGTATGATGAAAGACTCTAAAAAGAAGAAGGGGAAAAGAAGCAATAATTAGTTTCATGTACAAGGTGCCAGGACCTAAATTGTATGTATATGACCTCATTCAGAGCATTACATTCATCTATAATTTATTTTGAGGGCATGGAATAACTATAAAACAGACAATATGAAAGGACTTCTCCTGAGTGTTAACACATACAAAAAATGACTTAAAAGTAACTAGCTGTGTTTTAACAATCTTCTACTGCTAATGAGAGATATTAATAGCTACAACCATTAAAATCCTGCCTTCTGGCAAAAGACTCCAAAATGAAAGTACATACGAGCATAGAGTGGTACAGTGTGTGTGTTGGGGAGGGAAAAGGGGAAACCTGTTTAGAACATCTTTGGTACCACCACAATGGAAAATGGCAAAAGTCACAACACTGTGGCATCCAAGGAATTATGGACGATCACTCAAGTCTACAAAGAAAGTAGGAGTGTAAGAACAGATAAATATAATATACTGATGAAGAGTCAATATGCTTTCTCACATGAAGGAACATTACTTTTAAAAAAATATATCAAGAGTTCTTTGAATGAACCCTGAAAAATAAACAAAAACAAACAAACAAAAAGGCTTAGCATAAGCCACAATCTCTATTTCAGGAAATCATTGAGCTGGAAACACTGGAAAGTAGCAGAGTATATGAGGAAATCCTAAGCAACTTTTGGATTTTCATCCTTCCCTAGACACCAATGACTGACGACAACTAGATACAGCATCTGGGGTCAGTTTTTTTAAACTCATTGGCATGTGAGACTTTAGCCACTGTTTTAAGAAGTGGGGAAAACACACAAGTGGGAAAAGAACACTAAAAAGAAGGAGACAGAGATGAGAGTAAATCATTACAACAATTAACTCATAGGGAATGGGCTGAAAGTATATTTGTCAATGATAAATATATTTTAAATTAAAAAAAAAAATGAACCACCACTGAGGGTTAGCAGTGATCTCTCTAAGATTTAGGGACTAGCCCATTGCTACACAAATAATAGTCTAAGCTAAACAAGTCCCAGAGGCAGGAGATGTAGCTCCAAGACAGCCTGCCTTTGGGAACTGGCACACAGAAATTGCTCAACAAGACTGAAGGTTTTTCCTCAATGCAAAACCTATCAACTGGGGAAAAATAAGCTTATTTTGCTGCTATCAAAGGGGAAGTCTGGCCTGAGAGCAGAGATTGCTTTTAAGTGTTCCTTTTACCCCCCCAAGTAAAAATGTGCCTGGCCCTTAATAAAACACTTCTCACAAGATATATATCCATTCCTATTCAGTCAGTGAGAATTTAGCCCTATGTTTACACAACCTCTCTCTTATGTAATTTCAAAAGCATTAAAGCTTTCAAGGGTTCTCTCTATGATATCTAAACAACCCCTTTAATTACGCTTAGGAGATACATTCACCCAAAAGCGTGGTTCAGAAACGCTTTGCCTATTGCTACCACAAAGTCTCACACAGCCACAGAAAAGATTTTTTTGTTATGCTGCTATGACCTGAAACTAATTTTATCTTTCTTCTTCCCACTGCAAACCATATATGAAATAACCACCACTTTAACACTACAGGTATCAAAGCTGAAGCAACTGTGGATGTGTCATACCTACAACAAAAATCTGTTGAGGAACCGCTGCTACAGCTACAGGGTAACACAAAACAGGTCTCTAATAGCACATGCTGCCATTAGAGGTTGGAGTATGTAACACTAAGGGAACACACAGGGCTTCTCCAGTCCTCCGAGAGGAAACGATGCTAATGATTTAATGGCCACCAGATAACACCCTTGAGGAGTCAGAACTGCACAGAAATTTTCAATGATGCCAAACAATTATTACAGCCAGGAAAGAAAAGCACACTCTGACACCCTCTGAAAGATTTTTCCAGAGCTTCTCCCAAAGCAGTTTAGGTGCAGATGGATTTCTGAAAAGATTCATTCTTCTCTGCCCTTCAACTCTGGCATACAACCCTAATACAGGAAGACACTGGTTCACTATTCATGTAGAGAAGAGCAATATCTGAATTATCTCTAACATAGTTTGTCTCTGTTCTTGGTAGATTTAATCTAAAATACTATTTGAAATAAGAGAATAGGGAGGGATGGATATAGGCTTAAATTCAGAAGTACTTTTTAAAGCCTACTTCCTTGACATTGTTCTAACCTCTGGAGGCCTTGATTCTGTTCACTTCCAAGAGGAGTGAAAAAAGAAATTCTGTTGTCTGTGTCCTTTGGCACATAAGCAAAAACAGTTTGTTGAATTGGTCATCATGAAAAAACATTTTCTTCTCAGAAATGAAGCACACAGAAAGAATAATCAATTCTTAATTCAAGAACTTTATCCTAAACAGAATTTAAAGCAAAAGGAAATCATACATAAAAGCCATTTTTCCCACTGGTTAGAATAAGGGGAAGAAACATCGAGTCTTCATTTTAGGAAATACCTTGGCAAATTTCTAGCCCCCTAACAAAACAACTTTTGCATGCTATTCCTATTAAGCATTTTTTTTCCTAGTTCTAAAGTCTACGTAATGGCTACAATGAAATGAAACAATACTCAAGGTATTCTTCTGTTTTGAGAACTCCTTGATGAGCAGTCAGTTCTAGACACTTCATTATTTATTAACCCTGGCTATTGCAAACAAATTCTGTACTGGAAAAATCATCGAAACGAGCTCTCCATTTCTTTGTACTATTTGGGGTGAGAGGAGTGGCTATCTTTTCATTTACTTCATTTCCTTGCATGTTGTTAGTGTTTAGCAACTTTGAAAACAAATTCTGCTTCCTCAAACGCTATTAATGAGGGGGGGCAGGGGGGAGCGGCAGGAGGGAAGAGACAGAAAATGGATGGACTTGCTCTTCAAACGTCTATTCACTCTTGAAAATTTTCACGAAAGCAGTGAGCTAAGAAAATCCAGTCTGATGACATGGAGTTGATATCCATGAAGATGACATCTTCAAGGTACTTTTCCTCGCACAGCACAGGGAAAGCATAATCACTGTTTTCATGACAGGTAAGAGATTCAGAACTCCATAACTGAGACCACCCATTATATTACCTGGAGTAGTGAATTCTTCTAAAAACTGTGCATTGTTCCACCATCAATATAGTCCTCCAATGCTAAAGAGGAAAACTCTTTAGAAGCTGTGTTATAATATAACCTACAACTTGCTAAGATCAACTTTAACTTCAGTTAGAAAAAAATTTATAATATAGACTGCAAATTGTATTATTCTCTGGAAATTTTATTTTCCATGAAGGACAAGCGAGATGTTTGCTACCCTTACCTATTAATTCAGAACTCTATGAATCTGAGCAGAATCAGATCCAATTAAGGGAAACACAGTGCAAAAATCTCTAATGAAGTACTATATAAGACACATTTTTCTTCCGGAACACAGAATTTTCAGGATTGTGGGAATTGAGTATTTTGACAGTTCATTTTGCCCAGAATTGCTCTGTCTTCAACATCTTTTATCTATCTTTCAACCTTCAATATCATTGATTCAACAAAGAAAGGTAATGAGTGCTATTGAAATACTTTTTGTTATTTCACATTTTAAGGAAATATTAACATTATAGTTAACAGCATTAAGGTCGGTCTGAGGAAGAAAAGCCAAATGACTACTTAGCACTATGCACCTTCCACTGGCAACAGACTCTTGTCACTACACACAGAAATAAAAGTGTCACTGGCATTTGGAAACCAGTAACAAAACTAGGCTCAAACTGAAAAAGCATTTATCTGGAAATGAGTATTATGACTTGTCGTAAAGGGGAAATGACAATATTTCCTCCTATGTCTTTCTCCACTGGAAAAAAAAAAAAAAGATGGTAGAAAACTTCAGGACTAAATTACAGCAGCATTTATACTTCATATTTAAATACATATTAACTGCTGTATGTTAAATGAGAGGTAGAAATTCAGAATAAAACATAACACTTTTACTTGCCTTTACTTCCTATTTTTGACTAAAAGATGAGTGCAGCTGTTGACTGTACATGTTATTTAGGTAAGTAAATAGAAAGTGTCAAATACTCCCGATACAGCAAGCAGGCACTTTAAATGATCGCTTCGTAATTGCTCAACTTGGCCTTACTGAAGTCAAATTTACTAGTGAGCAGGAAGAAAGGATAAACAGCATCTGGATTACCTTGTGCGACTGCAACCAACATGAACTGTGATTTCTATTGCAAACGAGAGGGGGGGAGGGGACAATTGCAAATGGAAGGAAGAAGAGTGGGGGCTTACAGAGAGAACAAGCTGGCTTTTAAATAGGCAGCTGCTTCACAGTCTATCAAAAAAGGAGGTGATGAGGGACAGAGTTTGATTCTAGAAAGGCAGAGCAATCACTGAAAATCACAGTGACCAAGTTAGGTGCCTCCAAACACCACAGGAAACCAGCAAAGTCACACTAAGCCTAGACACTAAGTGTCACATGAGAGGCTTTTTCTAGTAAGCGTAGGTAGAAGTACTAACTGCTTGATTTCTTTTGTCAGTATAGTTTAGTGGGCTATATGCTGTAAAGAAACATAAGTGATAATCCACAGATTATATTCAGCAGCTTCAAATTCCCCAAACAAAACCATGTAAAGCCACTAAAATAAGAAGTGTGGATGATAAACATTTACATAGGATCTTGGTACCTAATGTTTTCAAGAAAAATTATAAATAGGAAGTAATTGATTGTTAACGGGAAAAGAAAAAAACTTGGGAAAAATACAATCCAAGAAAGTAGTAGCTGTAGAGTAGTAAAGAACAAATAATCTTGGCTAAGAATTATACAAGGGTCTGAAAAATTGGACTATGATCGTATAAGAAAAATGACTACCCTCACAAATGTAAAGCTGACAAATACATACAGTTAATGGCAAAGAGGAAGAGTTTTTACTGTATTCAGCAGATTGCATCTTACACTGAAAACTTGTATTTTCAAGTTCAGAAATAGAACAGCAGAAGAGAGATACTCTTCTGGAAATCAACATACAATTCTGAGTTGTAAGGCGGGATGTGACGGCAGACAGAAGATACAGCTCCAGGGACTAGGATCACTGAGAATGCAGAAGCTCCTGGGTTGCTCTTTAAGGGTGTTCATGAATTCCGCAGGACTCTGAAAGTCACTGTGGTAAAAATGAGATAGGCCTGTAATGAGCTTGGCTCTGCCAGTATACCAGTATTGAGGGGTACAGGTTCCTAGGAACAGACACCTCTCTGCAGTAGCATGTCATATTTCAATGTGTTAAAAAGAGTCACTGCCTGCTTTCTTACGTGAACATGTCTGAATTTAGATTCCCTACCCCGTATCTATAAATGGATACAAGAAGAAATGCTGGAGTGAAACTGCTGGGGAGGGAGGGTGAAGACTGAAGCACTCCTTACGCTGAAGCCACATGTCCTTATTGCTAGCTACTTCTAGCAAGCCTGCAAGTCAGACTGTATCCATATCATGTGAAAGCAATTTAATTCACAGTACCTAAAGTCCCCTCTGCTGTTTTGGCAGGCTACTTGGGAATCTCTCAAAAAATTACTTTGAAAAGCAAAAATTAAAAAAAAGCTGTTGGTCTTACAATAGCAATGCAAAAGAGGGACAGAGAGCAAAAACTGATCCAGGAGCAACATTTCTGGCTGATACTCATTGCAATTAAGAGTAAGTGTGGACCAGCCCCAAGAAGACAGCCCATGTTTCGAGTCTTTCCCTCCCCAAGAAGCTTGCGTTGATCAAGCTTGCACCTTCAGCACATGAACACAAAGTACAGATGGTAAATGAATTTGGACCCTAACCTCTGTCTATATACTGTACACAGGCTCTGTGCTGGAACCAGCCTCACGTTAATAGGTACAATGCTAATGATCACTTCTTAAAAAAAAAAATAAAATCTACCTTTAATATATTTTTCAGGAAATAATGATCTACAACAGCTACTCCCTCAACACCCTTACCCATCAGCATCAAAAGGGGAATCTTATTCCTTCCACTCTAGATAAGTGTTCACAGACTATGAACTCTGAAAGAATACAGTGCCACAAGCAGACACCTACCTCATTTGGAATTACTTTAATCAAACTGGAATGGAACATATTTATTTATTTACCAAGGGACAGTATAGCCACTGAAACAAAAAGTAAATGCTCCCGAATATTCCCTTGCTGCTCTCACAACACTCTACCTCTTGACTTTTTACCTCATTATTACATTTTTAAATATGTAGGGGGAAAAAAAAAAAAAAAAAAAAAAAAAAAAAAAAGAAAAGCTTGGTTAAAAGTTCAAATTAGCTGGGGAAGAAAAAAAAAGACAACTCATGTGAACAAGAAAACAAGCTCCCCCATCTCTATGGCAACCTTTCCTAAAAGTTTATCGATTTGTCATCTTGATTTTCAACTGTATCTGAAAGAAAAATAACTAGGTTTTTTTCATTTTTAACTTCTTGAAATGAAACTGCATGTCATCACTTTCTAATCTCTAGGAATTAGCCGTTTTCTCACAAAGCACTTCAATAATTTATCATACGCTTACAAGCAGAGTTCTGAAACATGGAACATCACCAGGAAAATCAGAACTGTTTATCAAACTCACAAACATATTTTGACATAGCTTCATCCATGAGGATTTAAAATATATCAGATAATACACCAGAACACACAAAGTAAGGTGCACCCCTATCCTGGAAAGAAAATTATCTAAGTGGCACTTATGATTTTAACATAAAATGTCCCCTTGCTAAATATTTGATATATAAAATAATAATTTAGCCCAAAGTAACCTCTAAACTTACAGAAGTTGAAATCCTCTTTGCTGTCTCTGTAATTGCCTGCTCCAATGGTTTCCAAAGGTGGAAAGCATAACGACCTGAAAAAGTTTGAAGTTAAATGAAATTATAATCAACATTCACTTAAAAAAAAAAAAAAAGCTCCAGTTTATAGCAGAAAAAAATTTGGTTTTAAAAAAATAAATAAATCAAAATACTTCCATGTTAATCTTTTTCTCTCATTTATCTGCTGTACAGCACCACTGCACTTTACTGCTTTTCAAGATGTCCGCTCAACAGCCGTTTTTGGATCCTGCCTAGCCAAAATCCCACATTTTTTACATTTTTCAATCTTTATACTATTAGGGGAGGGAGGGGGAGAAATTTGGTATACTTCACCTAAAAACCCAGTCATGGACTGCAAAGATCCATTGTGTTTGCTCAGAAAATGAACACACTTCAGTGTAATAAATGAAGATATCTGCATTGTGAACTTTAAGGAAAAGTGCAGTATGAAACATTAGCTTTGGATCTACATAATTTATTAAATACTGTTCAAAGCTTATGTCTTCAAAAAAACAAATCTATGTACTACATGTGTCTTGCTGTGATGTTGTATGCTTAATCACACGTTTTGTAAGTCTTGCATTTTTTATTTCATTACAAAGGGAGGATCTTCTGGGATTCAGAGCCATTCAACTCCCCACCAGCAGTGAACATCTTACACCTAGGAAAGGCTAGAGGGAACTCTGTTAGACTGCGTTCTGAGAAGTACAAAGCAGGTCTATCAACTTCAGAATCAACATTTGTGCCGCGTTACTGGAGAATTTTCCCTGCAAGTCCCCTCTCCCCAATTATTGTTTTGATTAACTATTCATTAGCAACGTAACTTACTACTATACACAATGGAAAAACTTTTTATAAGGTGTGGCTCTGCTTCATTCAAATAGCATCTTGCTTTCATTCTTAAAATATGCATTGTGTCCATAGGTTATTTCAGTCACCTAAGCCTGTGCCTATGTTAAAACACAAGTTAAAACCACTGTTAAGAGTATCACTGCTGAAATGCTGTGATGTATTAATGTATTACCTCACCTTTTTCTTAATGCTTTCTGTTACCACTTTTGCTAACTGCCATTAACACTTCAGCTCAATCGTCAGAAGAAATTCTAAAAGCATTTCTCTTCTGCTTCCACACAAACACACAGATAAACCAGCTGCTTAACGGGTACACATCACCAAAGATCTTAGCTTTCCTTCCCCTAATCAAAAAAATACAACTGTACCCTCCAAACACCTGCTGAAGTTTGGTTCAACTTCTTCATCTATTGCACCTATTCTTGGCGTACGCACTCGCACATAGCTGACCATGGTTGCTTTTATATCCTGAAAATAATGGAAATCAATTTGTGTATTTCAAAACCAGAACAGACCACAATTGTCTAGTCTGAGTAACTCAGAGTATAAACCATGTTAAACTCATGCCCTGTTCAGACTAGAACCTATTTTTCACAAGATACAGTCCAGATGCAATGTACCACGGGAACAGTTTAGTATGATAAATCACTGTGGCCACCAAAACCGTCTATTTTTCTCTATTTGAATTTCTCGAGCATCACCTTCACGTTGCAAGATCCTGTTGCACTCTTCTGTGCTAAGAGCCTCCACCTTGCAATCTGCTATTAAATAAACACAGTAAACTTTTCACATTACATTTTGCAGACAAAACGCAGATGGAAACTTTGAACTGCTGCCCATAAAATTCGTTTCTCCAGCTGTGACTTTTCGAAAAGAATTTTGGAAAATATGTCAAAGAACTCGAAGGGACAGGAACTATTACTGGACACAACTCTCCATAGCACTCTCAAGCAACCTTTCCACTTTCTGCTATTTATATTCATGAAAATTTCATTAACCCTTTTGGAAACAGCAGCTCACAACTGATAGTTCCGCACTCAGCTGGTTAATTTAGCTTACCTGCAAATGCAACAGTTGCAACACCAAGTCCAACTGCTATCATAGTTCTGGCCTAAAGCAGAAAAAGAAGAATCAGAAAAACATGTAGACTCTAATTTGAAATAAATGCACCTTTTACTTTAACAGAGAGTATTTCTGATGTCTGATATGGACATTTCATATATCACTTACAAGGAAGATAAAAGTAAGTTTTGTACTCAACAGCTGTGTACAGTTCAGTTCCATTAACCCATGCCAATGCACCAGATTTAACTTGGAACTACCCATTAGCAAATCGGCAAACAAACACTGACAAAGCAGCTCACAGTACGTAATGGTAAAGACACAAGGGAGACAACTATTCAGGATTACTTGAAATTATTTGTGCAGACTAGTTCAACAAAGTACATAACAGAAAGTATCTATTTATTACAAAAACACAAAGAGCTATAAAAACCCAAATATTGTTTTGCAAAGTCCTTCACTGGGAATTTCATCATGACATTGCTTGAAAATGGTATTGGAAATGAACTTAAACACTACAGCCACAAATGTACGTTAGTGCCTTCTATCTTTCACGCTTTGACTCATGGAAGCCCCAATAAAGACATGAAGCCCCGTAACTTCTTTTCATTACTTAGTGTCCGTTGCTGGCTGGCTTCTATCTTATTGTAGAGATATCAGTAAACAGGCAAACTTCTGACAGATTTCAGTGTTCATCAACAGCTAAAATTCACTTTAAGTCCCACTAGGAACTTAAACTTAACTTTGTGTGGAACCAAACACACAAAAAGAGACTCAAACACCTGATTCAGGCAATAGTCACTCCTACCTTTTACTAACTCAAAGTCCCCAGATTAGGTGTATGTATTTTCCCACACAGTACTTGAAGAAAGTCGTGCATCTCAAGAAGGACAATAAAAAGTATCTCCATGTTGAAGAAGAAGCTGCTGAAAGATATGTAGTAAACCTTGAAAAAGGGACTGACGTCTCGCACGTTTACAGCATTCAAGAAGGGTAATGAGCATTTCAAGTGTTGGGGGCATCTCTCAACTTCTGAAAAGCCTACTGTAACCTTTGAGGCAAATGAAATAAAAGTCATCTGTGGCACTAACTGTCTTATCATACAATAGTTCAATAATGCCTTGAACTTTCCCCCAGGAAACATGAGAAATCAGGTTAGGCTTGTTTAGCTTCAATTCAAAACATTACGGCAGTGAAAATCTTTTATCACCAGACTGACTCTCCGAAATACAAGTTATTTACACATTTATCCAGTAACTGGTTTATATATTTTCTACCAGTAAGCCTGACAGAAGGGCTTAAAGCCCAAATTTCAATGCAGATCCAGTTATTGGGGCACTCGCAGCCAAGCTGCCTTTGCTACCAAGTTTCCCAGGGCTAAAATTCTCTGTCTTTGATTGCACCCAATCTCATTTGTAGACAGAGATGGAGCAGGTGAAGAATTGCAAAACAACAGGTTCTAAAGCTTTGTAGAGCTGGCTTAGTAGGGGCTAGAACACAGGTCGACAACTTCCCCAGCCAACAGGCAGCTGTACAAGATGTGGGCACTGCCATCACACCCAGCAGCTCCCATGCCTTCGGTTCTGACAGCAAGTATCTGTGATTGCTGCCTGCAGTACTGAGCTCAGTACGGAAAAAACTGGTAGCTTGCTCTGAGCTCATCTAGAAGCAGCTTTATTCCTCTATATCTAGCTTCTGGATCCTATGCATTTTAACTAAGTACCTACCACCTCCCACCTACCTGGATGGGGCTATTCTAGCTATTTGTGTAACATAATACTGCAATTGCCTAGAGGTTTCTAGCGGAAAAAAAGAAACTCACTAAAACATACTGAAATGCAGCTCCAAAGTTAAGACTGGGCGAATTTCGTCCTTAAAAATCTGCCTGTCTATTCCATTTTAGTAACCTAACTCTTCCATTTCAGTCTAGTCTTCAGTCTCGATATTAGCATTCATTTCTGAATGTAAAAATAATGTAGTTTTATGTCTGTTGTTCCTTTCAGTTCCACAAAATTTCCCCTCATCTTTAGACCATGAAAAAGTATAAGTACGCTACCTAAAATGGTAGGAAATATAAAACAGTGAAGCATACAGTTCATCTCCTAACTGCACTAAAACTCTTTTCATTTCTTCTCACAAATTGGTTTTCCCAGGCTCTCAATATTCAAATCTTCTAAAAATTCTTCTAATTCCTCTATTTAGACGCTAACCAGAAACAGCAACAACATTTCTGAAAACATCATAACCCTATAGAAATTCTGTATTATTCTGGTCTGTGGTTGGTAACCACGGATTTATATTCAATAGAGAGACCCTCCTTGACTTGTTCATAGTGACAGCAAGAATCTTTTACTAAGTGGTTGCAATCAATTAAGAGCTCAACAATGTGTGAAACAGATCACACTAGCAAAAAAAAGAAAAGTTATTAGCTTGTGCTTGTCCAAATTAAGCTATTACTTGCTTTGCCACCAAAAAGGTGGTTTAAGTCAGCAGTTTACAACAAGGTATGCTGCCACTGGTAAGGCGTTAGCAGCAAATAACTCATCACAGGAAAGGCCATGCAGAGAGATGAGGCTAATAAATAATACCTGGACTCTGTCAGTTCAGTGCAGAAATAGCTGTTCTGGTTTGGGCTAAACCAGAACTAATTCTGTTTTAGTGCTTTTACTTTTCAGTTAAGTCTCTTCTAGGGAACCGCATTTTTGTTAGTGGCCCGTCCAGCCTCAAACCTCGACAACAGCCTAAGTGTTTTTGCACAGCAGTCTGGGAACACAACGTAGAGACCCCCAAGGGCTTTTGATAGTCAGCCATGTCCACTGGGATGCATTACTTCAATCTTGGTGGAAAGCTAGTGTTGCCTGGAAAACAGCAGGTAAAAGAGAAGCATGGCAGCAGCTCTAGAATAGAAGCAGTATGCAGTACTCACAGAAACATGAAGACAAGTCAGAAAACTAGGTAAAACTGATGGGAAGCTCAAGCCAGAGAAGCACGAAAGACTGTCCATGTTTTGAAGTGAGATACAACCACCAGAAAAGCTCAGAAATTTTGGGTTACAGTAACTCACTTTACTTGCATTATGAGCAGGTTAGAGAAGAGTTACTTGCCACACAGCAGCAAAGAAGTGATATCTTGTCACACCAAAGCACCTTGAATGTTTGTTACAGTGTGAACATATCTTAAATATACATGTGATAAAAACTGAATTTGAATCGACGTAAGAAAGATTGCATGGTTTTTCTTTTACCGACACAGCCTCTCTCACAAAATTAGTGGCAACTTCAAGTACCAACCAGTAAGTCCTTTAAGTCCAGCTTGACTCAGTTTCCTTTTCTACGCTCACTTAACTCAGTTATTTAGAAGAATAAGTCAAGGTTAGCCTGGTGCTGTGAAATGTAGAGTATAAAGTGCAAAGCTTTAATTAAATGCACTACTTTTGTGTCAATATTAAATTAAGGCAACTTACTATCACTGTGGAAGGGACAGGTCCATTTACAGCACACTAATACAACTACCACCACAACCATTTTTGGCTCCCATTGCTTGAAAATGCATTTTGTTTCAGACTCATAAAGGCTAAAAAAATAAATAAATACTTACTGAATTTCAATTATGACAGAATTGACCTCCCCCCCGCCTCTGAAAAAAGCCATTAAGGAATTTCTAAAATGTAGGTTTTAAATGAAAACATTCTGTTAAGATCCAAGAGGGAAAAATAAAGAAATACAAAATTAAAAAGTAACATCTGTCCCTTTTTTATTCAGTGAATCAGCTCCCAAAGGTTAGTCATCAACCCTGTGCTATTCTGCTGATCTCAGTATTCTAATTTTACTATGTAGTTCAGTTTTCAGTAACAAACCCTCTTAGATAAAGGAAACAAATGAAACAAAATTTTGCTACATCTGCAAAACCTGATTTTTTTTTTTTAAATTCTTTTCAGAATGTTGTATAAGAAAAACAAACATTGGAAAGGCAACTGCAAGACCTGACTTACCAAAGTGTTTGGCAACCAAAGAGGATAAACCATATTAATTAACATACAGTATGTTCAGAGGTATACATCATGTACCTGTTAGCATACAGAGATCTGTGGCCTAATCCTGTAATATCTTATTTTCCAACAGCCTTAATTTTTTAGCAGAAGAAAGAGGAAAGAATGAGATATTTTTCTTGCAGAATCATAATCTGCAGCGCTCTGGTAACTTGACCACACTCAAAAAATATAACAACTTCTGTAATTCTTAGCATTACAGCTTCTCCTTCTATGAAGTAGAAAAAAATTAAACTTATAACCAAAAGGAGAATTTCAAATGCATAATTTTAAAACTTCCACACAACACTATTACATCTGACTACAGGCTACAATAACAACCTTTATGAACGTTAAAATATACCTACTTGCATAGGATTGGGATTTTATACACTGGTTCTTCTACAACAATCAGTGAAAACACCCTTCTTGGTCAAATGAGAAATATTTTGCTCTTCTCACAACTAGCTTTTAGACACACCACAAGAGCTCTCCAGTCTTTTGCGTCAGAAACCTACTGTGTAACAGAATAAAAAGCACAGAGAAAATAATAATTTGTTCTGATGGGTCAGATGGCATTTTGTAATTAATCATGGATCAGCAAAATAGGAAGTATGTACTTACATTCAAATAAGTACACAAGTGTAAATTGCTTAACTAAAAACTTCATTATAAGAAGGTTTGGGTTTTTGGGAGGGAGGGCGGGGTTTGAAGTGCTATATGCCACCAAGCAGTAGGATACACAAGTATATTAGCCAAGTGTACAGAAATATTTCTGAAACTACATTTTCCCTTAAACAAAAATTCTTGACTTGAAATAAATGATTGTTTTGTATGGAAACTACAATAAGGCTTCAATTCCTCAGAACAGTGGCCACAGCTTATTGGAAGACTGTTTCAATCTAACCACCTAATTAACTCTATATGGAGCCAGAGACATTTTGAAGTGGGATTATATTATAAACTATCTGCAACAGATTTGATTTCATAATCTAATGTTTTCCTTCCAGTCTTAC